AATTTCTCTATTATTTTGCATAATGACCTATAGTTGCGTTTTTGACTTGTTTAAACTGCACGCTCAGAATGGTCAGTGAATTACTGGCTCAGAATCAACTGAATGAACAATAGCGTGACGTCATGATAACTGTTTAACTGTTGATAAATTGTAGCGCAAAGTCAAAGGGCCCAGAGATGGAGATTGTCCAGGTTTGTTAACCGGACTTCCTCTCATGGGTGACCGATAAAGTTAGTCCAATGATTATTTGCTTAAGAGGTTTAAAGTATCGCCTTCAAGAAGACCGTCTTCAAATATTGTACAACTCTTTTATCTAACCTGTATTTGATTAATGTGATTATATTTGAAATAACTGTACAAAGAATCAATAGCTTCTCTTGGAAACTTTACATCAAGATGCGCTTCGGTCCATCTGTGGATCCGCTAGAGGTATCAGTTATCGTCGATAATATCACAAAATGTGTCTTTCTCACAAAATGTTTCTTAAGAAAACGTCGTCATGTCATCAGACTTAATTCCACAAAACGTATCTACCACTTCCACAAACGAGTGATACCAGATCATCCAACCTTCTACAGAATCATCTTTGCTGCACTGAACTATACAAAAGCATCATTCATTGAAATATGTTATAACCAATATCATTGCGCGGAAACCAGTTGCAATTCAGGCCCAGCTGGGCCAGTTGTTTCAAACGCTTAGCTACGCTTGTTGCTGTGAAGGCCAAGCTGGCCCAGTTGTCTCATATGCTTAGCGACGCTTGATGTAATTTGGGCGTAGCTATGCTAGTTGTTTCATATGCTCAGCAACGCTTGTTGCAATTCAGGCTTAGCTGGGCCAGTTGTTTCATACGCTTAGCTACGCTTGTTGCTGTGAAGGCCAAGCTGGCCCAGTTGTCTCATATGCTTAGCGACGCTTGATGTAATTTGGGCGTAGCTATGCTAGTTGTTTCATATGCTTAGCAACGCTTGTTGCAATTCAGGCTTAGCTGGCCCAGTTGTCTCATATGCTTAACGACGCTTGATGTACTTTAGGCATAGCTATGCTAGATGTCCCATAGTGTTCGTTCTACCTAATGCAACCACATTAAAGCAGAATGTCTATTACTGTTACGAGTAATCATTCGTACACGTGTGTACGCGTACGGAGATAAATCTCTTGTGTTGGTCTCCCATTAGTGTTGGATGGGACACATGGTCACTCTGAAACAAGAGACACATGTGGGAACAATCTCATTAAAATCAGATCTTAGTTCTCGCTATCGCTAAAGCGTCGCTTACCAGATCATGAAAGTGACAGTCGGAATGTGTTTTCTAATCATGCAACCTCGAAAACGTTAACACGGGGATATTCCGAACGACAGTTACGGCCCGTACGAAGGATTCCGTCAAAATCATCGTCTATCTCTCGCTTCCGTTGGATAAACATTTGAACGGAAGAGGCGTTGCACAGTACGCTGGAAACACTGCCATGCAATCTCAACCACATATTAGACATTCCGGAATGTTTGTTCAGTTTTCAGAATTTTAATCGAGAACTGTGTCAACATATTTTTTCAAGGGTAGTCTGAAATGGAAGTCGCCCGGTTGAAACGGGTGCTGTAAAGCTCGTGAAAGCTGCTTTCTAATTGGCTGATGTCGACTTCTCGTTAGTAATTTCAGTGGTCGGTCATTCTGACGTGACCCGTAATGGGATGTCCTCAGATCTTTCATTAGCGCCAGCGAGAACTTAGATCTGATTTTTATGAGATTGATGTTGGAATAAAATGTTTAGAATTGACGAGCTGGGGAATAGACAGAGCGAAACATTATTTGAACAAAAAATTTGAACAAACAATACCGCTTCCGTCAATTTAAAAAAGTATAATTTAGGAATTAAAATGGAGTGACACAAATGTCCGTAAATATGTCAAACTCTCGCGGAGCGATGGTATGTCCTGACGGACTACCTCTCACTCGGACACTCTCACCTAGAGTGTGTGACGCCTTGCTGAGCAGTTTGCACACATAATGAGACCATTGTGTAAGGCGGTTTACACACGTTATTGGATGAATGTATGTGAAATAAAGTAGGCCGATTGTCATTCCAAGGACCGGTAGCGACTTTTATACCGGGACATGGACCGTGAAAAGACTTCGTATACTTGCCGTCAGAAAGAGTGAGTGGGTGAGTTGAGTTTAACGCCGCTTTTAACAGTATTCCAGTAATATCGCGGCATGTCAGCTAAATGTGGGAGGAAAGCCCAAAGTGATGCAGGTCTTAGACCTTTACCACTTCGGTGAAACCCACGACCACGGGTATGGTGCTGACAAACCTAGAAACATAATTGAGGCGAACCGGGATTCGAACCCACAACCAGAGGTTTCTGGCGTGTCCAAGGGACGCAACTCTGCACAGCGAATCGCGGCGCCTTAGACGACTGGGCCACCCGTGCCCCCGCGGTGTGTATGTAGTGGTCAAAAGGTCTAACAAAACCAACAATTGTGAAAGTGTTTTCGAACCCACATTGTCGCACAGCAGCCTTTGCAAGTCGAGATGTGTGGAAGAGGCATTGTCATGAAGTAGTAGAACTCCAGCAATCAGCATCTCTCGTAGATTTTCTTTAATTTAATCTCTCAGGCGATAGGCAAATCAGCATAGTAGGCACCGGTAATCGTCTTTTGACTTTCTAAGTAATCAACAAGGATCACACCCTTTGCATCCCAGAATACAGTGGCCATAACCTCCTTCACTGACCTTGAAGACTTTTGTGCCGGCCATTGACCTACAAGTGGCAGCCGCTAACTCTTATTATATGAACCCCACAAAAAACTCATGACTCCATTCCGAGAACCCCTCCTTCATCGAACGAGTGCAGTGCTCAAAGTAACCATGACAAATGTTCTGCCTCAAGAATCTGTATCACGGAATCAAATGTGTGCACTACAGCAGGTCATATCGACGAGAACGTACGTGCTTTGGAGAAACTGTTTATACTTAAAACCAAGATCAATAGAGATAGCAATGTCAGCAGTTTTATCATCAAATTGTGTCAATGACCTAAGCAATACATGAACCCACGCAGTGAACTTTATCCTCATGCGTGACTCAGATGTGAGCAAAAGTCTACACTATATAGAGACCTGATGAAAAGAGGCTTTAACATTTTACAATATTTAACATAGATAAAGGGTGGATATGGCTCACTCGGGTCATTAACAACCCGTGTTGGACGAACTTTAGTAAGCCAAGGGACAGGAGCGGGTAATCACGGCGGTCTGTGACGCTGTACAGAGTTGCGTCCCTTGAAGGGGATGTGCGTGCGTGCGTGCGTGCGTGCGTGCGTGCGTGCGTGCGTGGCTGCTTGCACTAGTCCGGACTAATGCCGATAATAGTGCTAGTCCATCGAGCTACCATGCCGCAGTTAAACATGAATACCCCACTCAGACACAGTGTGACTCAGAGCTGACCAGTCCTTGTTAACCCCTTAATGCCGAACGCCAGGCAGGGTAACCATCTTTTAAACATTTTTTGGTATGACGCGGCCGGGGATCGAACCCCCGACCTTCCGCTCTCTGGACAGATACTTTATCCACTAGGCCACGGAGGTGGTCCAGTGAAAATGTGTACACAGTACAGTTTGCACTGAATGAAACCAGTGGATAATATTGGATACACACATTCTGCATCCTGTTGGCTGACAAACACTAACACCTGTTTTCTTTAAACACAGTTCTTGTACAACTCAGTATTACAGCTATACCCTGGCTAACCTTAATATAATTCTGGCATTTAAATAACAGAAAGAAAGTACAACATTTACTAATAAAGAGTGAGTGGGTTTTACGCCGCTTTTATCAATATTCTCGCAATATCGAGGCGGGGAAATGAAATGGGCTTCACATATTGTGCCAATGTGGGAAGCGAACCTGGGTCTTCAGCGTGACGAGCGAACGCTTTAACCACTTGGGTACCCCACCGCCCAGTAATAAAGGAGAATAAATAGATCTAGAACATACAAACTTGAAATTTAGCCATGTTATTAGAATATTAGACTGAAACAATCAGTGAAGACTTGCATGTCAATAAATCAATTTAGTTCCAACATTTAGCTGACATGGCAATTATGAAAACATTTATATTCATATAAACTATAGTAGTCTGTGCTTCATGTTAATGTATGTGAAATCAGGAGAAGCCAAGACCATGGGGAGTGCACATTATTTGTTTGACCTTCGTATAGATTGAACATATATTCAGAACAGTAAGACAGTGTCATAGCGACCGATTTGGGACAACCATTGTCTGAATGAGCATTTTATTCCAAAGGCTAATTACCGTGTAGCATATGTATATGTATATGTATATCGCTTATATGCCGTTATTTATAAGATGCTAATACCAATTTTGAATCCCCATTGTATTGTACATTGACTGTCTGCCATCATAGACGAGCTTTGCAACTATGTCACTGATTAATTACTGTTGTTTATACTTATGACTTAATTCATGTCAGGTGATCTTGGTTATATAAGGCTTGGTCCAGAGATGAACATCAGAGAGAGAAGGTCTTACCCTCAGCCTTGCTCCGTGACACCAACACCGTCACTACCAGGGCTGTTACGATTCACTCGCGTATTCGGTGAATCGAACCGTAACCATTCATGAATTGAATTCGTTATTCATGGCCACTAGAATCGAATATTTATGAATATGCTATCATGTATAATTGCATACCCTGTACCTAAAAATATCAGGTCTTCAGCAACCCATGCTTGCCGATAAAGGCGATTATGCTTGTCGCAAGAGGTGACAAACGGGATCGAGTGGTCAGGCTCGCTGACTTGGCATGTCATCGCATCCCGATTGCATAGATCGATGTTCATAATATTAATCACTGTATTGTCTGGTCCAGACTCGATTATTACAGTTCGCCGTCATATAGCTGGAGTGGGGTGTTAAACAACATTCAACAGCAAAGCATGCGATTTTCACCGATTTCGAAATAATTAATTACTCACCTCTCTATTCTGCAGTCCGCCTAATGGTGCTGTTAAATATATGTTGTTAATCAGCCATATATATCCGATGTTGTACCATCAAGTACAGTATCCAAGAACAACACAGATGTAACAAACGAAACGTTCTGACACAGAAATATGTGGATCTCTTCTGTCATAATATCAGCACGTTTCGCACGTGAAGGTCGCGCGCAGACGCACATGAGGGCATATGGCCTTTGACATAGGGCACGTGATTGTCACCTGACATTTGGATTTCCAAACCGTAAGAATAAGCCTGAGAGTGGATAGGGAGTATGGTTTTACGCCGCTTTTAGCAATATTCCAGCAATATCACGGCGGGGGACACCAGAAATGGGCTTCACACACTGTACCCATGTCGGAAATCGAACCCGGGTCTTCGGCGTGACGAGCGAACGCTTTAACCACCAGGTAACCGACCGCCCAATAAGCCTGAGAATGACCCTAAAATAACGTGACCAAATAAATTCTGAAACTTCAGTTTGACAGGTCGAAGACATGTATAGAAACCAATTTCTAAATCAGTCAAAACCAGGATCAACCACTATTTTAAAAATATCTATTCCCACCTTAAAACGAATATTGGCCCATTGTTATACTATCGCGTGTGATAATGTCCTCGAAACCAGCTGTTGGTAAAACATTGTGATACCAATGTGATACTGTACTGCCATTAGAGACGATGACATGACTGGTTCAGACTCCTTTCTCCGACATCAATTTGATTTTATAAAAGAAATCACATTGGATAAAAATGTTCATGTTGTTGTTTTAAGCATTTAACAAGAACAAATGTCTGTTCAGTGCCATTATAGTGAAACGAAGTAGTGACTGCTCATCTCGTACTGGGGGCACGGGTGGCCCAGTTGTCTAAGGCGCCGCGATTCGCTGTGCAAATTTGCGTCCCTTGGGCACGCAAGAAACCTATGATTGTGGGTTCGAATCCCGGTTCGCCCCAATTATGTTTCTAGGTTTGTCAGCACCATACCCGTGCTCTTTGGTTTCACCGAAGTGGTAAACGTCTGTGACCTGCATCACTTCGGGCTTTCCTCCCACATTAAGCTGACACGCCGTGATATTACTGGAATACTGTTAAAAGCGGCGTTAAACCAACTCACTCACTCACCACACCTCGTACTAATAGGCTTCTCTAATTACCACTTTTAACGTTTACGTTATAGCCTTGTCCGCGCATGTTCACTTAGTCTTCCCGCTCACGATGAGACCTATTTAGCTCGCGCCAATTGAAATGGAGTAACGAATTATCGCGATTATTATTATTATTAACGAAGATAGCTGCCCAAATACTTATAAAGAGAAGCAAGCCATTCTGATGACATTACTTATAGTAAGGAATCAAACTGCAAAAGGCTGATTTTACTTCAGGTGGCGAAAAGTATTGACTTATTCAAGATGGTCCATGTTTCAAATATGGTCACGATGGAAGACATTTTGATAAAAACTTCTTGTAACAGAGATACGAATATGAATAGCCCCTAAGGGCCTTCCTTTAATTTCGTCACATATGTGCATGCAGACATGTCTACGTTCCTTTCCAAGTGTACATCGGAGAAATTAGCTGACTATAATCTGCAATGCGCAAACACGTAAAAGTTGCGTTCTGAATCTTCTGAAACGCTGTCGGGGAAGATGCTGTAAAATCATTAACAATTATATTTTGTTCCTAAAAACAAGGAGAAGGGGGGTGTAATGAAATGGTTGGTTGGTTGGTTTGTTTGTTGTTTAACGCCGCACTCAGCAATATTCTAGCTATATGACAGCGGTCTGTAAATAATCGAGTCTGGGCCAGACAATCCAGTGATTAATATCATGAGCATCGATCCTACGCAATTGGGATCGGTGACATGCTTCAACCTAGTCAGCGAGCCGGATCACCCGATCCCGTTAGTCGCCTCTTAAGACAAGCATAGTCAGTCGCCTTTTGCAGCAAGCATGGGCTGCTGAAGACCTATTCTACCCCGGATCTTCACGGGTCTGTAATGAAATGGCCGAAGACCCGGGTTCGAATCCCGACATGGGTACAATGTGTGAAGCCCATTTCTGGTGTCCCCCGCCGTGATATTGCTGGAATATTGCTAAAAGCGGCGTAAAACCATACTCACTCACTCACTCACTGTAATGAAATGGGGAATTATGTTGCGTTCAAGACTGTTGCATGTGTACAGGGATGTGCGTGCGTACGTGCGCGTGTTTGAGCGTACTAGTCCGGACTAATGTCGGTTTTATAGTGCTATCCAACTTAACATGAATTCCCCTCTCAGAAACCGATCCGTTAAGTTCTTGTATTATCCCCTAAATGCCGAGCGCCAGTCACGGAAACAAAAAGTTCCATCTTTTAACGTATGTAGGTACGCGGCTGGGGATTGAACCACCGACCTTCCGCTCTGAGGGCAGACTCACTATCCACTATACCAAGGAGGCGAAATATGAAAAGGCATGGATTCGTAATCCCCTCAACGTTTTATAACAATAAAATAACACATTGTTGGTATATGCATGTATATTTATTGTCCATGTCTCTAAATAAAGTAACATTCAGATAGCAACACCAGTAGCAACACCAGTAACAATGGCGGTAAAAATCTCTGGCATTGCAACCAGGATACGAAGACACTAATGTGTTTTGATAGATATTGTATTATGCTTGCAAAATATAACTTCTGTTTGTATAACAAATCATGACAGGTAAGGTTACTACAGGGAATAGACTACTTGCTACATACTAGCAGGTATTAGCATATCAGGACAGAGCATTGAATGTGTAAAGTGTGATCACCAAACCCATAGTATATTTAACGTAAGCTATAAGAGATGTTCATTCTCATTCTGATGCGGGGGCGGTCGGGTAGCCTAGTGGTTAAAGCGTTCGCTCGTCACGCCGAACACCCGGGTTCGATTCCCGACATGGGTACAATGTGTAAAGCCCATTTCTGGTGTCCCCCGCCGTGATATTGCTGGAATATTGCTAAAACCGTACTCAATCACTCACTCACTCATTCTGATGCGAGTTTACAGAAGCTGAAGAAGTCTGACCCGGGGGAAGCAACTCTGGTCATGCTGCCCATACTGTACTAATAAAACTGGTGAGGTCAACTCCAAAATACATGGTCGACTAATTTATAAACCAGGCTCTACCTAGCCATCACCTACTGTATATGGGGCAGGGCTAGCTAGCTCCGACCGTGGTTCGTCAGTTCGGCTTCGTCCATGGAATAAAGTGGAGAAAATGCATCCCCTGTGAGGTCATACTTCTAACCGGACGATACTGCTTACATAAACTTTAAGAATGGTTTCCACTGGAATGCGGGTCATTTTCTGGGAAAGTCGTATTCCTGAAAACAAAGAATCACATCTGAAAATAACACATTCGTCAAACATATGTCGATTACTCGATGCTGGTGTAAACAGCTTCATATATTGGTTGATAGCCACTAACGGAGACAATTGATGAGACGAACTAGAGGAACAAACACATTACGGCGCTTGAGTGTTTGAGGAGGCCCATTGCTGTGGGTGAAAGAAGACAAGAGCATACATTGGGTATGAAAGGTTCATTTCAAATTGTTAAACGCCAACACCCGAGAATAATCAGTCTCCAAACAGGTTCCATTGGGCGTCACATGCAGTGTATTTATATCCATTACATCCCTAACATACAGCTTCTATATAACCATTACATCCCTAACATACAGCTTCTATATAACCATCACATCCCCAACATACAGCTTCTATATAACCATCACATCCCCAACATACAGCTTCTTCATAACCATTACATCCCTAACATACACCTTCTATAAAACCATCACATCCACAACATACAGCTTCTATATAACCATTACATCCCTAACATACAGCTTCTATATAACCATTACATCCCTAACATACAGCTTCTATATAACCATCACATCCCCAACATACAGCTTCTATATAACCATTACGCCCCCAACATACAGCTTCTATATAACCATCACATCCCCAACATACAGCTTCTATATAAACATTACGCCCCCAACATACAGCTTCTATATAACCATCACATCCCCAACATGCAGCTTCTATATAACCATCGTTCATGGGATTGGAAATATTAAACTGGAGTGGTCCTGCCACAGAGGGTGGGGCCAAGGGACTATAGCGAATCCACTGACCCTCTTGCACCGAGGTGGACACCAGGGGTACAGTACAGAGATCCAACTGGGCCTTTCAACATTCGCAAGCATCTCGGCGCATCATGATGATGGATGGATGGATGGATTGATGGTCGGTCCTCCCTCGCTCTGCCTTGAAGGACGTCTGGTCAGGTGGAAAGTCTGATGAGGACTGACCTTTAAACCATTCTTCTTTTCCTTTTATGCTTTTTCTGGAGGGGGGTGGGGACGGCTTGACGTCTTTTAGGGGGTCTCGGCTCCTCACGTTTCTCCAAGACATCCATCAGGGCTGCTGTTCCACGATGTTTCAGAATCTCTGACCATTTGCGTTTGGCAGCAACCACATCACTCACCAACCCGGGTAGGATCTTTTTACCCATCTTGAGCACCAATGTTCCAGCAGATTTAAGGAAAGGCAACACCATCTTCAAGACACCTCCGAGACCACTGCCACGTTGATGACACTCTCGTTTGTATATTTTAATGCCACTCCCACGCTGACCGAACTGTCCTCGATCCATCTGGTGTGCCAACGCGTGTCCCAACATGCTGCTTCTGTGTTAGCGGCGAAGTCTGAAGTGAAGTGTCATGATGGCTTTCCCCATTTGAAATGGCATGGGTGGTCCCGTGTCGTCCATGATATAGAGTTTAATATACTCAAAGGAACCATGTTACAGTCCGAGGTAGCGAATGTGCTGAGGGCTTTTAATCACCACACTGTCTTGCATCAACTTCTTTGACACAGGCACGTGGATCAGCAATGGAGCCATCGTATAACCCACAATTTGATCTTCGACCAGGTTTGTGTAAATGTACACGGTATCAAATCCTGACAGGCAATGCGCTTTTGTATCACCTGTGATTTCCACATAGCCACCTGTGATGGGAGTAGCCCCCTCTTGCCACTGGGCCATGGCACTCAAGGGAACAGGCGTCTCTGTATAGGTTTTATAGTCCTCC